ACGAATTGTTCCTTCGTTTCATGTTGTCCATGTTTTATTTTAGTCTACCACTGAGACGATTCATTTGTCTCAGTATGCAAACATGATCAAACATGTGTATGTGCGCGTCGTATTGATCAGGATTTTATAGTTATGGAATCGGAATCGATGTTATTGAAATAACTGTTATTGTTTTATATTGTCCACAAACGTCTGAAGAATTGGTGCCTTTGTTCTGCATATAGTTGTTCTTTCCTCTGCAGCACAAGGCTGAACATTGTGCTGGATCGCATCTACAATGCTAAGATTTGCGACTTTGGCTTGACGCAGCCCGAGATCCCAGAGATCACAGGTGATCCATGTGACCAACTTGTCCTTGCAGTTGTCCTTGCATATCCTTGGGTGATGCTTATGGTTATGCTGAGTTCCTTCAAGCTCCTTCTGAGTGTTGTTCACGTAATCAAGACCACTTCCTTTGAGCCCTGTGTGAATGAACATGCGTGGCCGCTCAGTGATGGTCCAAAGCAACTTCAAGCCAATTCCCATTGGGGGTCTCATCAATGCACATCTCATCGCGGCTCCTTGATCGCTGCGCTGCCAGCCCAACATGGGGCTGGCCGACCGCTGCACCAGGTCGATGGAAAAGACGCACATCACCTTGAAGGAGGGTGGCAATGGAGGTTCCCCGCGCTACATGGCGTTCGGACCGCCAATTTGCTCCGCCATAGTGGCCGCGACGGGAGAGTGAGGGAGGACACATGGGAGTGTGTGGGAGGTGCGAAAGGATTGATTGTTTGAGAGCAGTTGGAGACCACTAGATTCACTAGATGTCTCATTTCAACTGAGCATTTTTCAGAAATGTTCAGAGACCGCCAAGGCCGGAGTGCTACGACTGCAAAGGCAAAATCACCGAGAAGGTGGGAAGACGTTCTGTTTGTTTTTACTTGTTTTTACCCAATCATCGATGCACTTTCCAGAAATGGTTTTAGCTTCGCTGAATTTGCAGGTTGATGTTTGGGCTCTTGGCCTGGTGCCCAGAGGGCTTCCTGATTCTTTGTGTGAATGGACAAAAGGCTTGGCGAATGCAGGATGATGCAGGATGAGACAAGGCTAGGAGCTAGAAGCAATTGAAGTTGAAGCACGAAAGCTTTTAATGCGTGCATTTTGTGTCAAGTGACATCAAGTGTTGTAATGCCTCCAACCTAATAGAAATGCTCCAATTTAGAAGCGATGGCTTCCAGCCTAATAGCAATTTCTCATTTGGTGCAGAGAAGAGTCGGAATTTCTTGAGGCTGTATCCTTGTTGAATGCTTTGGCGGACCGTTGCCATATGACGACTGCCAGAACATCCAGCAAATCGTTGCAAAGGTTCCCCGGTGTCCGGCGTTTGTCAAATACCTATGCCAGTAGCTTCTAGCTACTAGTGGCGATGCACTTGTTACCACTAGATGCACTTGTTATTAGTAGCGATGCCCACTATTGTTAAATTACAATGAAGAGATGTGTACAGGATGTCCCTGCATGTCTTACTCCTTTTTCCGCCTTTGTCACCCACGCTTTGTATGACATTCGTCATTCCTTCAGGATTGCCAACACATCATAGAAGATTCAGAATTGAACCATTCTGCCAGAGTGAGAGTTAGCATACCTCAAAACAAAAGAACAAGCTGCAGCATGTTTTGATATGAACGCACTTGTTTAGCAGACAGGTGGAACACACATTGGCACCCACTGTGCGGCCGCTGCACAATCAAGCCAATTCCAAACATTAGCTTCAGTTTTGATGACTCTATATACTCTCTACAGCAAGTCCTTTCTGATGCTGTGGTTCACATAGCTGATTTGACTAGCTGATTTGGATTATAAAATTTGGATTGGTTATGATTTGTTTTTATTCAATAGCCTTTGCAAGTCGCAGGTCCTGATCGACAAGGAGCTGCCTTACATTCCCAATCATCTTCCCTCCGGCGTGCGGCCGATTGTGACGCTGCCACAGTTTTGGGAGCTGAGGGACTACGGAGCGGAGACGCAAACACCTGGTCACCGCCTCATCCAAAGCCTGGAGACGAAGGGTGGAAGGAATTGCTGTATGCGATTTGGTTGAACCAAAGCAGAGAACGTATCATGAGTGATAGCTGCCAGGTGGAAGATTGCTTTCAGTTTGATTCCAAGCAGCGCGCATCAGCACAGAACGTGTGCGGCTTGGAATATCGTGGAACCATCTTACATTTTTTTAAAGCCATTGAACATCAACTCCAGAAGTACGGATCTAGGAGATGCTAGGAACTCAATTTTTTTCCGAAAGACAAGAACACCAACCATGCGTTCCAAAGGGGGCATTTTGCTTGGCAGTGTATAGTGCCGAGATACAGGACTAGCTTCACAATCTTCAGTTCATTCGGGTGTGCAATGCAGAAGACCCTGGTCTCCATGCACTCACAGAGAGAGAGAGAGAGAGACCGTGAAGAACTCACACGTTTGGGTGAACGAGCTTCGACATGTTTTTGGGATTCTGAGTGGTTCCCGAGGTCTACGCGCGCATACAGCTGGTCGGACTTCCTTCAGGAGACTACTTCGGTCAGTTTCCACTTGTTCTTCAACGTTCAAACTTTACGTCTGACTGCGGTTGATCCAGCCATGTCACTGGTCTTAAATGGCGAGAAATGTATAGACATGTTGTTTTCTTTGATCAGGTGGTCAGCAGACCATGTGTGGAGGGATGATGATGGGACTCGATTTGGAAACCGTGTGGGTCTGTGGTCAGGCCTGTTTTCTCTCGTGGCCACAGCCCTCCAGGATAGGCCCATCATGGCGAATCCTTCTGAGCCTGACTCTCGTGACAAATGTTTTCCAGAATTGAGCTCGGCTGGGTTGCGTCACGTCAGGAGATAGGCTAGGCTTTGTCACTTTTTACACAGGTTGTGCTTTTTGAACCGTGCTCAGCTGCACATAGAGTAGCTGCCTAGGGAAATCAATGGAAATCCAATGCAGGCCTCAGCTTTAGCGAACCTGCTGTTGATTGAACGCTATGTCGAGCCTTTCTTAGCACTGTTGCTCAGTTGCCAATACTATAAGATCCCTATACATATATCCCTATGCTGCTGCAGACTTCTGTCGCATGTCAGAATTTACATGCGCAACTTGTTAATTGCCTGCCTGCATCATAGATTGATGCATGGAAACGCGCAAAGGCGTCAACAGCTTGTGCACAGCTGCTAGATTGATGCTAAAAGATCTCTTGTGGGTGTTTCGGCCTCCCCGTTCCCTCCTAGTTGTAGGTGAGTCACAGCTTGCATGCAGAAGGTGTTTGTCCCAAGAATAAGTATATTGTGTTCGTGAACCACAATCGGCTGTGCTTCCAAGTTTGTACCAAGTTGCTTGATTCGCGAAGCGATTCTTCTTACTTGAAAGATTTAGCTTAGGCCCCCGTCAATGTCAGGTTGCAGATCGCCGTAGCATTCCCGCATTTGTTGGCCTATCCCTCTTCGAGGGTATATAGTACTGTGGCAACAAAGGATGAACAACATGTCAAGTAATTCAGTGCAACATGTTTTGAAGATGTCCACTACTTGATATAAAGAAGGAAGCAAAACAGCAGAATTCATCAACCCACAAAGCCAGCCAAATCGAACGTGTGGGATCCACATCCAGTCGAGCGGCGCAATGTCTGATGATGGAGAGGCTGGTCGCACAGCACGGTCTCCCGTTGCGAGGAGCCATTGATGCCCGGTCGCATGGCATACCGGTGATTTGCGTGAAGTTGCAAGGTGGGCGCCTAGTGATTGGATAAGCTGGGAGAGTAATGCATTTTCGTCAGGACGTGAGCAAGGTATCCTTCCTAACTCCCTCCAATATAGATTCGGATTGTCGTTTTGATGGTGTATACCCCTAGCCATTTTGCCTTGAATTTATGGCACGCTGGCAGCCAGGCACTACAATCTCCAACAGCCATTCTCGATGAGCTTTTGGCACAGGACCCATTTCATTGGGACGCATTTGATTGGTGTTCGTACTGGAAACTGCCATATACTGCCATCCAAGTATAAGTACCCTGCTTTGATGTACAAGACACGTCCAATCGAACAACTATATACATATATATATATATGTGTGTGTTTTGATTTAATTTTTCCGTTCCATGCGTTGTGTTGACTTTACTCATGTTGCCTCGATGGGCCCCCGGCTGGCCGCAACCGTGCGTGTGCATTGGAATGTCATTTGGGTAGCGCATCGGAGTTCTATGAAAGGCCTCGTTGTTGACGCCCATATTGATCAAGAACATAATTCAAGAACAGCATGTCATCCAGAGCATGCAAGTATTGTCAATGGGCCCAATCATTCTGAATCGAGATTGAGAGGTATGAGTACGAGGCAACGCCATTGCTTCAGTTCTCGGAATCGTTGGTGCTGCTGCATTTCAGAAGCATCAGATGGTTTTAGAAAGAATGATTTTCCCACAATTCATTTCACAGGAGGAGTGCGTCATCCTGAGCCCTGTTTGTCATGCCTGGAGCTTATTTGTGTAGCTTGGGCTCGCCATTCAAAAGCAAACACTAGATGGGGAATTGGAAAATATATAGTGAAGGCAAGACAATGGCTTCGCGGCTTCGTCCTATATTTGGGTTGACTTTTTGCATGTGGCTTATATGCATGTCGAATGCCCTTTGTATGTATGGCCTTCGCGGAAAAGGGTCCAGTGGTGCCACGGCACTTGACAGAGAATCGAGCAGAGTGTTCAACGCCATTCCGAGCCGCACTAGGGTTCAGACGTTTGGCCGGACACGGACAGCGAGGCGCTTTTGTGTTGAGATTAGAGCCTTTTGAGATGAGAACACCAGCTTGTAGCCTCCAAGCGCTTATGGCCTCCAACCTAATGGCGATGGCCTCCAACCTAGGTTACGGCAAGAGCCTTTTGTTAGAGCTGACAAGTCTTGTCCAAGCCTGGAGCATTTTTGCACATCCGCTTGTGGCAACTGTTAGCAGGGGCCCTTGAGTCCTATCTCCAAGCAGATCGCAGATCTGTGCGGGGAGCTGGAATCCTGTCAAAGGCTCAGAAAGGAAACCAAAGCGAAATCGAGGAGCGGCCTTTGCAATTTCATCCTTTTGTGCCCGATTGTTTGATGTGGGGGGATTTGTGATCTCACTTGACATATCTTGATATATGTACCCGTATGCGTTTGCTGCTGAATGCCTTTGGTATCCTGTGGTTCTAGGCTTTAGTATAGCATGTTGAACTTTCACTGGTTGCCATAGCCACAGTGCCAATGACACTCCCGCCATGGGAGATGTGTCCGATTTCGACTTGTCTCGGCTGGACCTGCCGCAGGTGCCGTTCCTATCATGAGTCCTCCTAGTACGGAAGATGTTGATCATAGTGTTTATATCGTTGTTTCATGTCTACGCTGTTTGTTTTTGCGCAGCATTGTACTGAATTGATCTGAATTGTGTTGATTAATCATGCTATGTAACGTTATGTAATTATATAGTTAAATTAAATTTGGTGATTAAATTGTTTGTAATTACATCAACTCAAATTCATCCATTCTAATGCTGTATCCGTCGCAGGCCATCATCGAAGCGTACAGAACGCGGGGGATTCGATCTTTCTACAGCTGGCAAGCTGAGTGCTTAAAGTCTCCAGGAGAAATCGTGCTTGGGAAATCTCAGTGGGAGAAGAATGTGCGGTATGCAGTTGTTCATAACGGGGTACTTAAAACCTGCACTTTTGGTAATTTGCATTGCGAACTCCGGAATCTAATCTTCTTGTTCCCAATGGACTCAACTTGCGATGGCCTCCACCTAATAGCGTCCTTGCTACTAGTAGCTTTTGTTCCTAGTACCCCCTGACTTCCTTGGACCATTTCCTTGGACTGGACTCTTCCCAGGAGTTCAAGAGGGGCGGAGCTTAGTCTACTGTGCACCTACCAGCGGTGGGAAGACATTGGTGAGTGAAGTCTTGATGTTGCAACGGCTGTTTCGCTTGCGGAAGCGAGCAATCTTCGTTTTGCCTTATGCACCTCGATCAGAAGACAGTGCAAGCGTAAAGGTGATCCAATGAGTTTCATCATGACAGCTGTTTGTTCAATTCCGCTGCTTCAAAGGTTGACCCAGTGGCATTGAGAGTGGCAGGTTTACTGACTTCACCGAGGTAAGTGTGGTCACTGAAAAGGCGTCGTTTTTGCAGAGCCTTTGCAAATCGACAGGCGCTGGAGGATGGGGCACACCAATCATGTCACATATATGTCGTATATAATTATATAATTGTATATTTAATATACATATATGATCATATATGTGTATATATTGAGCACATTCATGCCATATGTTCATCCTTGCGTCATCCTGGATGTTGCCGCTCCATTGACTCCACTGCTCGCTTCACTCCCGCCGAACAAACCGACTTGCTTCACTGCAGCTGTCATCACCTCATCACCTCGCCAGGTGTTTTGGTTCAGGCATTCTTCGGTGGCAGTTCCTCGAGCATCAAGGAGAAAACCGAGCATCGGGGCGATGCGGGGTGCTGAAGTTCCTATGATCAGCAGGAGAAAAGCTACACTTTCACACCATCGCAGGATCCCTTCGACATCGCAGTTTGCACTCTGGAAAAAGCCAATGCATTGATCAATCATTTGGTTGAAGAAGGCGCCAAGTGTGTGTGTGTGTGTGTGTGTTTGTGTGAGTGTGTGTGTGTGTTTGTGTTTGTGTGTGTGCGCAAGCTGGTCTCACCCGCTGTGACGCTTCCTTGCTTTGAGGCCAGCTATGCAAAATGCTTGGGACATTGGTTGTGGATGAACTTCACTTGGTGGGAGATGCATCCAGAGGATACCTGTTGGAGATTTTCCTCAGCAAGGCTGGACGGATTCAACTCAGGATGGTACTCCAGCATCATGCAGAGTCCTTGGCAGGTCTTGTTCTTGGCGCCGGAAATTCAGGCGCTTTGAAGAGGAAACTGCGGGGAGTTCCATGAAGAAACATGGGCCAGTATGATGTGTATATATATAATATCCATGCATGCAGGGTGTGGTGGTGTGGGAAAGCTAACGCACTCTTTTGCGGAGGTCTTGGGTTTGAGTGCAACTCTGCCAAATGTGGAGGACATTGCAACATGGCAACTTGGCCTCGACGTCGGTGGGAGTCCCCCAGAGCCACACCAAAACATATTTGTCTATATTTGTTTATCATATGCAGAGACTTATCCTCAAGTGAATCAATATGATAGGACCTAGACACCGTTCCCTCAAAAATGTACGAGTGTTTGATCCTTTCTGTGAACTTTGTCAACTACTTATGTTCATTTATGTTCATTTATGTTTGGTATTCTATTCAAGATGAAGATGACTGTAGCTGCTGGCCAGACCAGCAAGCCAAAGTCATTGGCCTGGTGTCCTCAGCATGAAAGTTCGAGGTTGAATGCTGCCTTATATCGGACAGTGTATCGACCAGTTCCGCTCCAAGAATACATTTTGTGCGGACACGACCTTTTGAACCCAGATGGCTCTCAGGCAGGAAAACATGGCAGAGGTTTCCAGTATTTGCCAGGAATTGAATGTTTTTCGCAACGTAATTGTACTTATTCTTAGATTCCAGGCTGATTGAGAAGATTCAGCTTTGAACATGCCTTGACAACATATTTGAGCAGTTCAAACCATCAGCTTTCAGTGTTTGGAACTTGAGTCGCACTACCGACTGACCAATTTGTTCCCATCTTGATTGCACGACACGAACTTGAACAGATGAGCTCCCGGACTGTGCGTAGTGTCATTCCATCTTCCAAGTTCGGCTTGGACTTGGCCAGGTTCGACAACTGTCTTTTGATGGTTTGAATGACAAGGACGAGCTGGTCGCAGCTACATGGGAGGTGACCAGAGAGCATCACAGTGTGCTGATCTTTTGCTCGTCCAGAGCGTTTTGGCTGCAAAGAAAGCGCGTGAAGCATGTCACTGAGTTCATTTCTCCTCCCAAGCGAAGAAGCCCAGCTTGTTCAGGTGAAATGTGAACGAGCAGCTGAACTCCTAGCAGTGAAGCTGCCTCAACAGGCTCGACCGCAAAGAGAGCTCCTGGTGAAGCAGATGCAGCAGCAAATAGGCAAGACGTGGGACACGAAGCAAAGCAGCAATCATATTAATCTTGGCTAATATGTAATTATATATACTGTATAATACTATATAAATATATTGTTCAAATCTGATCTCCTGCTTGGTGTTCATAGTACGTCGATGTTGTCATAGAGATTTGACCTTTGGTTTCTCATCCTCCGTTCACACCACCCATCCCATCCTTCAGGTGGCGCAGATCCAACTCTGGAAAAAACCATTCCAGCGGGAGTCGCGTTCCACCACAGTGGTTTGACGACAGAGGAGAGGAACCTCGTTGAGCGGGGGTACAGGGATGGCCACATCAATGTGATTTGTGCGACCTCTACACTTGCAGCTGGTGTAAATCTTCCCGCTCGCAGGGTTGTTTTTCAGACACCCTTCATGGGAAATCAGCTACTGGATGCAACACAGTATAAACAGATGGCTGGACGTGCGGGGCGAGCAGGACAAGGGAGTGTCGGAGAGTCAATCATAATAGCACCAGCAGCCACCAGAAAGCAGGTCATGGAATTGGTGCAGCAGCAGCTTCCGCGGGTTGCAAGTTGCTTGCGAAACGAAGCTAGAGGATTGAAGCGCTTGTTGCTTGAAGTCCTTTGCATTGTACCACAGCTAGGCGCCGGAGAGGACCTAGGGAGGGCAGTACTGCACCGACGTGTTTGATGCAAGTGAGTGAGTAAGTATTAAACTCCCAGTCCCACAGCACAGCCAGATACTGTGGGGGCAGCCAATGGTTCTGTGATGTTCTGTGAGATGTACGATTCCCGGTGAGGATTTGATTCGCTTCTGTTCAAGCACTCTCCTGATGACACAGAAAGCGCCGGCAGATGAGTCATTGGATCCGGCGCAGCGCTATCCAGAAATTGCTGATGCCGTGAAGTGGCTTCTTGCACATGACATGGCTCGCCTGGACGAGCGATCGAACGCTTACCGGGCCACTCCCTTGGGTCATGCCGTTTGCTCTTCGGGCCTTGAACCTCAACAAGGGTAGCTTGAAAGCAACATGGTTTCATGGTTTCTTTTGAGACATACTGTGGAGATCTGTGGAGAAAGGTTGGGTCTAGTAACTAGAGGCGAAATCAGACCAGTCCTGTGTCCTTTCATTGCCTTTCTTGTCGATTGCCCACGAGACAAGGCATCTTCTGTTTCAAGAGTTGCAGCAAGCTCGTAGCTGCATCTCTTTGGACACCGATTTGCACGTTTGTTACTTGGTGACGCCAGACAGCCTGACAGCTGTCGATTGGAACATCTTCAAGAAAGTCTTGTGCCACCTGTCCTCTGCTGAACGAAGGGTTGCCCAAAGGATTGCACAATGGGTAGTTGCATTTGGAACTTGAGCTTAGATAAAAGAGAAGAAGAAGCAGAAGCTGAGAGTCATCGAGTATTGATGAGCAAGTGATTTCAACCCAAGAAGAACATGTCGCTTCAACAGATTAAGTAAGCAACACTCTGAAGTGAGAGAAATTGATATGAATTGAGTTGAATTGTTCAAGGCATAACTAGAATGTCCAAACCCTGGAAGGATCAAGCTACGGCTTGACCTGGTCGACCAGGCGCAGTTCCAAGGGCGCTTGCCAAATAGCACCCTGCAGTCTGTGGATGGGCAGCGAGTCATGAGGCAAGAATGCCAACATTGCCCTGAGACAACATGGGCTCAAAACAGACACTGAGAGTGACACTGAGGTTTGCCCAACACAGATAAGACCCATGCATGTGAGGCAGACGTGTGCACGGGAGCACTGAGGACGACATCAACTTTCATAACATTTTTTGATTTGGACCGAACAATCGTGAATTGTGCTTGGTGGGTTCATTTCTCATTAAATTCTATTGAATTACTTAAATTATTGTTTCTAGTAGCTTTTTGCTCCTAGTAGTACGGCCAGGAGCCCCTGGTAGCTTCTTGTTACTAGTAGCGATGCCAGGAGCCCCTAGTAGCGTCCTTGCTCCTCCCCAAATCTCGTCGCCGAAATGTTGGACATTGTTGGACACGTTCAGAGGAGGTAGGCTATTAGCTGGGAGGCCATCGCTAGTAAGTTGGAGGCCATTGCTATTAGGTTCCTTTTGCTATTAGGTTCCTCTTCTGGGATCCTTTTGGATCTTTGGAGGTTCCTCAGAAACCCTGACAGCAGAGATCGTAGAGGCACCCTGACATTCGCCCCCAGATGTTTGGAGGACGTGAACACCCCGGGTCTTTAAGGCGCCTAGTAGCATCAAATTCATCAAATAGGACAATACACTTCTCGAGCGGTGAGTTGATCAGGGATCTTTCGTGACCTGGAGGTCGATGGGAGTGTGCACACACTGGCTGCACTGTATGCCATGTATGCATCAGATAGTGCACCTTGTGCATTGACAGGCTTTAGTGAATCTTAAGTTGTAACAATTGGAACTTGCTGTGCGACACTCCCTTCATCTGCACGAAGATGCTATTGTCACACTTCCGGTAAACTGCTTGCTCCTATTGAGAAGGCGACGTTTTTTGGTGAACTACCCAAAACATCCCAGAACAACTGCGCGTTTGGCTGATGGAACCTTGCGCGACAGAAGTAGAAGAGGACCTTGACCTTTACACAGGATAACAAGGGTTTCTTATTTGTCTTGTATGTGTCTTTTTTTTTCAGGATCGTAGATCTTTGACACCATTTTAATATACTTATATGCTGTTAAAGGAGTTCTTAATACTCAAGCCGCTTCGTGTCATGTCTCTTGAATTTCTGAATCCAGCACTGCTTGAGGTCAGGATTAAATAGCTGAAATGGCCTGGATGAGTGACAATTCTATGATGAATCAAGGGTAGGGGGTACATCACCCCCCTTTAAGGTTGAGGGCATTATGTTTTGTTCTATTTCCGCGAGGTTCTACAGTGCACTTGTGTTGTGGGCATTGCTCCATGAGACCCCTGCACCGCTGCTGTTGAAGCGCTTTGCTTTGAGTAAAGGGCAGCTGCAGCAGCTCCAGCAGTCTGCAGCATCGTATACACATACTGTGGGCGTCCTCCGGCTGCAAAATCCTTGGTCTTGAGTGATTTGGACGGCAAAGGCTCCAAGAAGAGGCTGACACCATGAAGTATTCCTTTGAGCCTTTGAGTCCACTAGTCACTAGTCATCGCCTTCCTAGTCACTAGTCCTCATCCCAGCCTGGAGGTTTTAGTAGCAGTATGTGGCAGTAAGTAGTGGTCATTGCAGCAACCGAGTGCAGCAGTGTGAAGGAAAGTACATCCAGATGTATGACAGAATACTTAGTATTTGTCTTCGAAGTTTCATGGTGCTCACATGGCATTGCAGTTTGTCTAAGGTCTTTTGCAACAAACTGCAATGGTACACCTTGGAAGCCTTGGTCCTCTCCTTCGAGAAACGCTTGGCCTTGGGCGTGCGTCTGGAGTTGGTGCCCTTGATGCAGATACCAGGCCAGGACATGTGCTCAATGCATACAGTGACATGTTTGTAGGTTCTTACACCTATTTGTTTTCAGGTTCTTACACTGCACCAACAGTCTTTGAAGCTGGTAGACTCCTAGACCTACTGCGGGTCCTTGTACGGTGAACATGTTTAGGACGCAAAGATGATCAGATGGTTCAAGCCGGTTCAAACATAGTGCTGGATCAGCAACCAGCTGGTTGACTCTTCAGACTTCAGGCATGGACTGTTCAGTGGCCCGAGCTCTTTACGAGCAGGGCTTTACCACACCTGTGGCTGTGGCGGCGGCATCGCGGGCAGAATTGCTACGCACCTTACGGAAGACGTTGCCACATCATGTTCCGAAACTGCACACCTTTGGTCTTACACCCAGTAATAATATACTTGATTTAAACAGGACCTCAATGAAAGGAACTAGTCCTTCTGAATATTTAACAGAAACAGGTAAGAACTGAGGTTTGGTTCTTGTGCAGAGCTGTAGCCAAGTCATGCGGAATCTAGGAATGTCACCACCAGGTGCCATCTGCTGCACTTCCTGAAGAAAATGCGGATCGATTGATTGAGGCAGCTGCAGGCATGGGACAACACGTTTGTTGCAGGCAAATGAATAAAATAAAGTAAATAGACACGTCTGATGAATTCAGAGAATCTCACAGTCTGACTACACTTATTCAAACGGGGAGACTCGTTTGTACTTGACTTTGTTGCACCGTTTCATGGTTTTATGGTTTGTTTAAGCATGTCCCCCCCACGAGGCTTAGCAAGATCTCAAATCAAAGAAAAGCGTGCCTTCGGCTGCTAATTAGGATGGAGATGTTCAGGGTTTAGGGAGATAGGCTGCACTGCATTTCGCTTGCAACACATCACAGCAGATGCCAATGGCTTCAATCAGTGGCAAACACCAGACCCATAGCCACTCAGGAAAGCGTGCCGCAGCCGAGGGTGAAGATCAAGGACTAATCGCAGGCCTTGAATGCGCCATCGATTTTTCTTACCGAGACAAAGCAATGTGTTTCACTGCTTCACTACAAACCAAGCAAAGGTGTCAGCATGTTTCGAGTTCAACTGACCACATAAGATGAGTATTTTTCTTACAGCAGCTCAGGTGGTTCTGCAGTGTTTGTTTAGCGACTACTTCTGGCATACTTTGCTGCTTCCTTTGCGCACTCTTGGTGTGAAATATATAAACTTGTGTCTGTGCGTGGTTGATCATCGAAGTGCGATTAAAATTCCAAGCAGCTTGAGAACAGGCCGTCGTGTTTGTCAGGTGCACCACCGAAGCGTCGCAGCACAGCTAGCAAAGCAGCACCACGACGAGCCAGACCTGCACAGCAGTCTTGGCAACCGCAGACAAGGCGAGCAGACCAGGTTCCGACGCCGCAAAATCCACTGCCGCAGCTTCCACCGTGCCAGCTGCTTCCAGTGCCGCAGTCGCAGCGGGTGCAGACTGTGGCATTCCAAGCTGCACAAAGCGTGCAGCCGTTTCAAACGACATCGGAGCGAGAAGATCCTTCGACATCCAGAGGATGTGAGGAGATGAACCTTCGTTGGCTTTTGACGATGATGTTTGATTTATTGAGTCACCTTGGGTTGGTTTCTGTTCCATGCAGCCAGCAACACTGGTTCATGAGTTTTATGTTCTGAGTGCAACTCTCTAGCATCCTGTTTGCAGGATGATGCAGCCGAAGGGAGTGAAGCAGGCCTTCAAGCCAGCCTCCATTGCCAGGATTCTACCAACTATCCAAATGCTGATAAGATCCGATCCAATAAGTATGATGGACCTTTGCAAGAAAAGGTAAAGCGGATGTGTGTTTTTGATTACGCGTTTCAGTGTGCTCGGACCAGCGAGATAGAAGACTGTAGACAGAACTGAACAACCTTGAACAAGATGAATATGAAAAGAGCTGGAAGCAGCTAGAATCGAATGCTTGACATGTTTGAACAACACGTCTTTGAATACATGTCTTATGTTGAACACATGTTTGGTTGACTATGTGACTGCGTGATGCTTCTGGATTTGGACCTGTGATGCTTCTGGGGGGCTCAGGCAACTGATGAACCCAAACTCGAAACCGCAGAGATTTTTTTCTGGGACTTTGCATTGCTCTTGGTTCCCCGGAAGACAGTTCTTGAAATGTTGAAAGATGGAAAATGCATAAACTTACCCTACCATACCGCATACATCCAGAAGTACATCTAGATACCATCCGCATGCGGGATGTTCTTTGTGTCGAGTCAGTGGGAACCGAACTTGACAGGGGACGATGCTGGGAACTTCCACCCATTGAGTCGATGCGCTACCCCCTGCCGCGGCGTGCCGGGCGGTGTGCCGGGCGGTGTGCCGGGCGTGCCCGCAGCGCAGGAGCGGGTCATTGGGCCACGGGATGTGGAACTAGGTAGGATGAATTGGAATGAACCGCTGAAAGTTCAACACCTGCACAAGTCTTAGTCCAACCATGACTCCTGATCATTGGAGGAAAATCCACCCGCACCGAAGGTGCCGAGGCTTTTTTTAAGGTATGGCTTATACGCAAGCTCTCTTGCCAGCTAATAGCTTTAGCTAGGGGCGGGGGGGGCTTTTTTGGTCTAGAATCACATGTTTTTTCCACGTTGTTGAACAATTGGTCAAACCCACGTGGTGTGAATGATGCTGCCCGCCGCGGGTTGCATTTTAAGCATTTTTTGGTTTGACAAATAAACGCATGTTTTTCAATATGTTTGAGAAGGGTATAGACTTGGTTATTTTGCGCTTTATAGATCCCATCTTGGCTCCAAGTAGCTGAAAAAAAGGCCCAAGATGGCCCGAACATAAGCCTAACATAGGGCTGCCATAGCCCAAGATAGGTGTTCAATATGGCGCAGTAGATGGTGAATGGAGGCCCACAAGAGGCCCATGTAGGCATTTACAGTAATTGTCACAAAGCCTCTTCAAAGTCAGTGTCTGAAACGAGGTCTTTTCAGATATGGACGTCGCCTACGACGGCCGAATATGGTGGAAGATGGGACGCATATAGTTCGAACATAAAGAGAGATAAAAAGGGTGAAGGGGCTCATAGGGTCACAGAAACGGGGCAGAAACAGCTAGAACCCTAGAGACCTTGCAAACTCTGAACCCAAACATTGCGACGCGAATATCTCCATCAAAAAGAGTCATGCGGTTGAGACATTCAGGACCAGATTCGTTGCATTTGTAACTTTAACACTTCGACCAAGCACCTACCAGTTTCACTATTTCATACTATTTCACTATTATGATGATCTATTAATATCTATTATGGATTTGTGGTCAGGGTGTTTTTCACTCACGACTGACGACTGAGCATGATTGGTGCCTGTTCACGAACGATTTATTGCCTGCGACTTGAGAACCTTTGTGCCAGGACACGTCCCCACTCTCTTCAGAGCGCTTGGGCGAAGGCTTAAGGCGGATGGGGCGCAACAGCTTGAGCCCACGAGATTTAGAGCCTTAGATTGCGTCCATCGGTTCGCTTCGCTGTGCCGAGGAACCCCACCGAAGCTTGTGAGCACCATGGAACAATCCCACTTGTCCGGGAGAATAATATCACTATATATCAATGAAGTGCAAATACATTTTTGTGTCATAGACAACTTCTCTTTTTGCCATAAGACAATGCTCGAACTTGTTGCTGTTGGAATTTTGGCTCAGGAAGCTGTTGGATCTCCAGGTGCCAGGTCTTCAGGAGTGGCTTCCGGAGGACACAGTTGATGAGTTGTGGATGTTACTGTCTACTCAGCTAATTCAAGAGATGTGGAAGATAATTGTGCTTACATGTTACATGACTCAATCAAATGCGCGATGATAACGCTTCGATTCCTTCGGTGTCCAGGAGTCTCCCCTGGTCCCTCTGCAGACTCTCAGTCTGCTTTGGTGCTGGCCCGTGGAGAACCATACCCTTGTGTACAGAGTGAGGCAAACTTCCTGGCATCTGCGCTGGCAACCCCAGGTCGGTGGGAAACAGAATAGAGTGTTAAACGTGTTAGAGTGTTTAGACTGTTTGTTGGGATGACGCATGGTTTCTGATTGCAGGCTGAACTCCTTGTAGGCTGTAAGTGGTTTTAGGTTACAGCGACCTGCAACTAGTCCAACTTTCTGAGTTTGAAGATGCTTGCAACAATTGAGATCTGTCCAAAAACGTCGGAACCAAATTGCTGTTTGTTGGTAGGTTGGTAGGTCGAGCACACACTGAAAACCGATGAGGAAAACCCAAGCCCGATGCCTTTGTATCAAACCGATAAGGTATGTTAGTGGTTAGTGATATTCATCAAACATTGAAAACCGATGAGGAAAACCCAAGCCCGAGATGCCCTGTCCTAATGACCGCTCCCAGAACTCAATTGTACAGAACTGTTTGAGTCTTTCTGAGCTGCAAGGTGCACGGTTCCGACTTCCCCCGCTTCAAGTTCTTTCATTGCATCAATCTCCACTGCAAACCTTGGGCATGCGCTTGTCAACTGCAAGAGGCTTAGCTTGGCTCGCATGGCTCTATCATATCAGAGACTTGTAGAAATAGGTCTGACAGACGTGCCTTGGAAGTCAGATATCATATCATCGATTTAAGCAAAGGCAGTGTTTGGTTCACTTGGGATACTTGAAGTACTTGGATAAGGGAAGCACCTCCAAGGTCGACTGGATTGGAGCATCTATTGTTCCTGGTCAGAATGGCGAGGAGGCACTTTGCTTGTTGCTGGGCCCCTGCGAGGCATACAGCTTTGTTTTGCCTGCTCCCAGCTCTGAACGAAGTGCTGCTCCTGCTGAGCCGGCGGTAGATGGATTGATTTGGAGCTGGTTTCGGGATGAGCAAAACCTGTGTCTCACGACCAACGCCAAAGACCTGGTGGGTGCCTTCCTAAAGCGAGGAATTGATGTTCAGTGCTCTCTCGCCGAGCCGCGGATAGCTCACTGGTTACTGGATCCGGATGACAAGGAGAACATGAGTATAGCAAATTTGGCATCACTTTGTCAGATTACCTTGGAGGGTAACACTCTCCTGGCAGGTTCTGGGAACTCCTCTGTCTCCTCTCTAAGCTTGAGTCCGGTCTTAAGGGCCAGACTGGCAACAGCTTGGCCTGAGGCTTTTGTGGCTTTGCCTTTGTTGGCGGAGCTCTTGCGCAGGTGCAGGGCCGCAGGGATTGCTTGGAGGCTGTTTGGTTCAGATATGTTTGAACTGCTTTTTTTTTTCCATAGAGTTTTCCTTGGCCCAGAAAAGACAATGGTGCCTGAAGTAGCAACCCTAGAGGCTGGGTCGACAACAGCTTTTAGGAAGCTTTTGGTGGATCGAAATGCCCACTGCCACGGTTTTGGCGTGGATGGAACACTTTGGCATTGGATGCGAAACCAGTGACCCCAACCACACACGCAGCCACGCATTGTACAAGATGGCAGCAATCCAGGAGCATGTGAAAAGGGTGGTTGGACGGCAGGTGTTGCTAAGCTCCAGTGAAGATGTTGGCCGAGCTCTCTTCGAAGATTTGCACCTCCCCTTGCCCAAAGGTGCACAGATGCGTCGGAAGGCTAGCGGGCGGCTCTGTTACAAATCTCCACAAGAGCTGCTGAAGCGGTTGCTTCCAAATCCTGTTGTCAGCTTGATCATGGAATACAGGCAATTGGTCCACGCCGTGAAGCGAATCGAGTCCATTCTACGGTCGGCTGAAGCCCCACGTATGGAGCCTCTTTGCCCACTGTGTAGCGGGGCACAGGGCTCAACTGGTCCAGTATTTACTCGACCACGTATACGGACAGAGTTTGTCCAGACAGGCACAGCGACTGGGCGCTTGGCAACTGCAGCCGGTTCAGTTCCACTGATGTGCTTGGAGAATGCCTTTCAAATCAATGAAGTGGTTCGACCATCGCTGCATCAGGAGCTGATGCAACATGGGTGACAAAGACTTGCTTGAAGCACCTGTTTCTTCTCTACTTCGTTCATTTTCGTTCCATTTGTTGAAGCTAATTTTCTAGAGAAAAAAGGGTGAATGAAGTAGTATGAGGACACCTTGGCCTTCCGAGTGCTGAGGCCCGACTTGCAATGTGCAGGGGCTAGAGTTTTTGTTGCTTGTGCCTCTGAAGCACCTCCCAAGCAGCGCTTATTAAGAGAAGGGGTCATCGAGGACGTGTCTTCAAGCTTTTGCGACCAGTTGCTGCCTGACACCGACACATCTGTAGCACAATACTGGGCCTCTCGCGGTTGGCACATCTACAATGATCCTTCGTGGGCCTCCGCTGTGCGACAGGTCTTAATTCGTCATGGTAGCTCGGTGCTATCATATCCTGCTGATCAGGTATGGCGCTTAGCAGCAGCTGTCGACGTTGGGGATGAGTCCGCCAAAATTCAGGCACGGATTTGTGTCTACTTATGTAGATATCTTAGATCACCTCCCTAGTGGCGAAAGTGTGTTTCTCTTGTAATTATTTATGCAGTAGTTGGAATATTGATGAATATAATGTTTTCACCGCGGCCAGGTAAATCCACGACAGCTCTTGTGCGCGGAGCCTGGGCATGTTCTCTTAAGCCTGGACTATTCGCAGATTGAAATCCGCCTAATGGCGCACTTCTCTGGTGACCAACGACTACTCAACATCTTGCACCAGGGCGGAGACGTTTTCAAGCAGGTTGCAGCAGGTTGGCTTTCCAAGTCCTGTTCTGACATCTCTCCAGAGGAGCGCAGCGGTGCAAAGCGCATTTGCTACAGCCTCATATATGGCGTGGGCATTAGCAAGTTGGCAGCAGATCTTGGCATCTCCACACCTCAGGCAAGAGAGCTGAAGGCCTCCTTCATGAAGGAATATGCAGGCCGCACCTGAAGACTTGAGGTCAACACATCCCATCAACTTGTTTCAGTTGTTTGACAGTTTGCTGATGTTTCTTGCTCCATCGAAATCAATTCAACTCACATTCCAACTTGATTCGAACCATTGCCTTAAAACGAACGACTGGGAAATGGTCTTGCTGCAGGTGTTGCCTCCTGGATCACCACTTGTACGGAACAAGCTCGCCAGCAGGGCTTCGTGGAGACCGTGCACGGTCGCCGGCGCTTCCTGCCAGGCCTCGCGGCCGCCTCGGCCGCTGAGCGAGCGCATGCGGAGCGCCAGGCAGTGAACACCGCCTGTCAGGCTTCAGCAGCTGATCTGATGAAAGCTGCTGAGCTCGAAATCAGATTGTTATCAAGTGGATTGAGGTTTGGATTGATGTCAATGGATTTCATGAGGTTTGGATCACCATTGATGTCCCCCATCATTCCCCATCAGAAGATGTATTGGACACAGTGCCGATCTATTTGGGGGGCCACTAGAACAGGTGAAACGATAGGTGAAACGATCCATTTGTTTAGGTTTTGTTCAGCACTTGAAGCACGTGACCGAATATGTCGTATTTTGAATTATGAATTGATGCAAATGGTAAATACAGGAAACCATGGAACAAAATTGCCCATGGCCCATAGCAGTGTTCGAGTTGGGACATGTTGGGAGGTCACATTGTGCCTAGGCTGCCATGATCGGCATTCACAATCGCCTGAAGCAAATGCGTAGCCATGCGTCAGATGGACGATGTCGTTTGGTCGGGCGGATTCTCCTGCAAATCCACGATGAGTTGATGATCGAAGTGGAAGAGTCACAGCTCAGGGAAGTGCGAGAAGTCGTGGTGTCTGAGATGATTCGGGCAGGTGATCTGAAAGTGCCGCTTCAGGTACGCTGGAAAGTTGGAAGAACATGGGGCAACTTGGAATCTTGAGGTGGTCGAGATTGCTTTGCAAAGTAATTGAACGGACTGGACGATGTCAATGTCTGACCGCATAATTGACGTGCACGAAGTCCTGATTGTTTGTTCCTTTGTTCAGCTAACAAAGATCTGTGGGATGGAGGTAGAACGAGGCTTGGCTACCTCATGAAATGAGCGGGTGTTTCATGGACAGGTCGGTCTCTTTAGAGTGGTAAGTTGCCTGTAGTTTGACGCTTTCATCCCTGAATCTTCGCAGTTGGCAATCCGAATTGGCAAGTGACTGACTAGCAAGTGGTCGCCAATCACTGCCCAGTGTTGTTTAATTTCACGGCACAGTGGCGATGTGCGCATTTGCAAAAAAAAAAAGCAGTACTGGGCACCAGCAGAATGATGGATGGGAAACTGCCTCTTTATGACGGGGAGGCTTTGTGTGCCAACTCTGGATTCAGAATTGAATAGGTATAGGTCTAGGTTCTCGTTAACACTTACCTTTGACACTGTGTTAGAAGGGTTCTTTTTCAAGCCGGGACCTCAAACATGACCTGCCCCTGCGGCCCGACCCTCGCGTATGTTCTGAGTCAGTGAGAAAAAACACCGGAGCGCCCAGCAGGACAGAACACTGGCTATGCCCTTTGTTACTAGTAGATACTAGTAGCTTCTTGTTCCTAGTAGTAAGGCCAAGAGCTACTAGTAGCGTCCTTGCTGCTAGTAGCGATGCCCTTTGTTACTAGTAGCGTCCTTGCTACTTGAGGTCTCGGGAACTTGAGCCATTGGCCTGATCATGCCCTTGGCCTCGAAGGCCTTCGGCGCTTCGAGGCAACTGGGAGGGTTTTCTCAAAATGCTGGAAGCTTGAAGAGGTGTTTGATCCAGGCGTTTGTTAAAGAACCGATTTTTGAAACGCGGTCAAGGAACCGATTGGACAGCAAGAGTTGTTGTAGACACAAACGTTTGGAGGATGACTTTGCCATCTACCAGGCCCAGAGATCGACTGTGAAAATTGAAGAGGGTGCCAATGTTTCAAGTCTGCTAGGGCCAGCGGGCCAGGGATTGTTTTCTAATAGATAGCCAAGCCGAAGGAAGACTAGCTATTTCTAGCTCTTGACGCTCTTGCAACAGTCCTCTACGGGCATGGGCCCCATAAACTCCAGGATCCATCATCGGTGGCTGAATGCTTCAGGAACTGAATGTCGAGGAGGATGTGGAGGAGCAAACAACCTGTTGGATCCTCCAAGATGCAGACGAGGCCGGGCCGGTTCATGGCCAATCCTGTTGAGCCCATTTTTGCAGCACCAGGCTTGACAAAGCTTTTGAGCTTGGCCAGTTGGCTTGTCATGTATGACATTGTATGACAAGGGAAAAGTCATGAAGAAACTATAAGAAACTGTACAGCTCAATTGCAATTTACTATGTGCATCATGGATTTATAATCAGTTAACTACATAGAATTATATTATGATATTTAAAAACACATGGGGTGGATGCGGTGTTCATCGTTATTCCATCCAGGATGATGTCAACTTGGCTGCAAGGGCGAGCAGCGCAGGCACCAGTTCTGAGAGGGGGCCTTTGTTCTGCTTGTAATAATAAAGCCTTTGGCGTTTACTTGCGAGGATTCTTGTTTAGAGTCTAAAAGCATTTCACATTCAAAGAGTTGATGGTAGTTCACTGTCATTGCTCTAAAGATGTCCTGAAAAGCAGCTTGGAATGCTTCTTGGGTGGCACGGCCAAAGATTGGCTTTGGATGGTTGGTGTTGATAGAAGCCCGTTTTTTTTTTGCCAATGATTGTATGTGCCAAAGGATACCTCATTTGCCCTTATTCAACTATGAGGCCTTGCATAACAACATGGCTCAGTCACATGTTCCTGATTTGTTTAAGGCCCAGTTAGGGAGAACAATGAGATTAAACTATTGATATGCCATAATGCTATAAGCGAAAAGTTTTGCTTATTTTTGTTTCTGGTTAATTTTGTGGCAGCAACGCACATCTCAGCTTGTGGAAAAGGAGATCTTCACAGGCAAAGGCCTTCATCTATGCGACAGCCTCAGTTGTCAGGGACAATCTGGACACGTGTAGCGAATTCTTCATACATGGTTCACGTGGCCTGGCCTGGCAACTAAAAAGCTGGATTCAACAACAAGCACAAATATTATATATCCACAATTATGCACATAACTATAATACATAGGCAACTTGAACACTTTGTACCAGGTTATTTTTTTGAGGTTCTGAGATAGTGGGCGTCACAAGTTGAATGATCAATTCCTGTATCTGGTTTCAAAGTTGAAGAGGATTTGAGAGGCCTTCGCAACGAGTGAGGGACGACCACAGCTGTCGAAACCAGTTAAAACATCTGGGCATGAAGGCATATGTTCAACCATTGGTGCTCAAAGTGAAAGCTGTGGTCCCAGGTTGACACAATACACAGTTTCTGGCCTTTGACATCACTCCTTTTTCCCAGCGGGCCGTGCAGAGCACTTCCGTTGATGTCAGCCGCGGGACCATCGCTGTCGTAGCGAATCTTCCAGGCCCGACTTGCCCAACCTCATGAAGTCTCGGCCCAGAGCTGCTCGACTGCAGCGAGCACTCGAAGCAAGGAGAGAATCCATTCGAGCGAGAATCAAGTAACTATTGTATGCTATTGTAATTTATTGAATATGAAGACAAAGGATATTAAATGATTTAAGAGTACACTCATGTAATTATTAGGAGTACACTCATGTAATTACACTCTAGGCGGCTGACATAGAAGTCGTGAGGTGGATGTCATGACCATCCATAGCCCCTGAGAATACTAGTACTCCTGGAGTTTCACTGTCTCAAGGGTTCGGTTTGGACTCTTGATTGGGCAAGGACAGGAAAGACTCAACTGCTGTTTGCTTTATTGTGCCTTAATTGGCATTCAGATCAAGCTGTACTCCAGGCTGCTCTGGAAGTTGACAGAGTTTTCCCCTCGCCTCAAATAGTGTTTCCAATTGGCTAGATTTGATATTGGGGATGAGATGCTCAGATGCAGTGCCCAGGTGGGATTGGACAAGATCACCAAAGCAGGTGCGCTGCTGAAGGGATCATTCAGCACAATTTGAATGCTTTTTGATGCTTCAGTGAAAATCACATGCCAACAGCAGATGTTCACAGTCAAGTTCTGAAGATGTTGGCTGAGCAGTCATGTCAAGCCTTCTCCAATCTTCCCTGTCCTTTGAGGCGAACATCTGATTTTGCCTCGCTTTTTTGTGGGTCTCATGCTTCCTTAACTCAAGGTGAAGGGATGGACGCAGCCGTGGCGCCCTCAGATTGCATTGGGTTTCTCTTGGGCATTTTGCTGTGGAACTGCGCGTGGGTTCTTTTCTGCGTCGTAACATGCTGCGGAGGCATAGCATACCGTATCATACTGGTCCCACTACTAACGCCCACCAATTGCAAAAGCTGAGCTTGTTTGGTGCGAACCATGCGGACCGCGCTCGCCAACACGCCAGGCACCGAAGGGTTCCGATCCGGCAGGTCCGATCTGGCTGACAGAAAAAAAACTGTTTGAGGAAACGTCATGAAACTTGAACACGACACGACACAGTGGTTTGATTGTGGCTTCATGTGGCTTCTGAAAAACAGTTGAGGAAGCAACTTAGGGCTTTCCTCGCACCAGTCTCAACTCTACAAAAGCAAGCGTGTTGGGAAGGTGAAGAAGTTGAGGATGCCCAGGACAGCAGAAACAAGTGCGTTGCAGGATTCAGTGCGGATTGGAAAGCAAATAACTATTTGTTGGATGCAGGCTGCTGAGCGTTGGAAAGACTCTTCTACCCTTGATGTTTAACACCTAGTCGCGTTGGGAAGATCCCTTGTGCTTGCAAACCGGCCGAGTAGCGCAGGGCGAGTTGGACACACTACTGGCAGAGTGCCAAAGGCGTGTGTGTTCTACATGGGGCTATGTATTTTTTATGCAGTACAGACATGAGATCACATGAGGGGATCAGCTTCACAGAGTGGTAGTACTATGCAATTAGTACCCAAATGAGAAGACTATGCCATGCCCTCCTTGGTTGAAAGCCAGCAAGTAGCACTGATTCAGCTGTTGGATTGCCAACCCTGGGTATTTGCATAAAGCTTTTTAGACTTGTCCTTCCAAGGATGAGTGCTGGAATGTGTGACTTCTGAACGGGTCATTTGTATAGTTTGTATGCATTGTGTCTTGGTGGAGCAATGTGGCAATAGATGGCTTGAATCCACTATGAACGAGACCGTTCATGTCCAAATGAATGCCACCCTTGAATGTTAATTGCTGGCCACAGTTTTTTGATTTCACCCCAGCATCGAAGATGCATAGAACTGCTTGAGGATATTGAATGCAGATGTCATTCCATCGTTCCAATACAATGGGCCCACACCCATTCTGTACATAGATAAATTGATAGCAAATTGATATCAAAAAATAAAAATATAAAAAAGCTAAAACACGAATATAAAATAAGATGGGATCCACGAACCCGAATGCAAACATGTCCTCGGAAACAAACGCCCAAACTATTTGCCACTCTTGTAGGAGACTTCTGAGGCCACAGCTCCCAGAAACTACGTCTCGTACTACAAATGTATAATAAAAACTATTAATTCTATAATTCCTAGAATCTATTTATCATATTTATATTTGTATTATTAAGTAATTAATTCTGAGGCCATAATTCTTAGAAAATTTGCTATCGTAGAAATTATTCTACGGGATATGTTATATTTAATTTGTTTTGAATTTATTTTTAGAAATTATTTTTAATATAATATTTATAATTGTTTTTTTTGAAGGATATTTTTTATTGGATATTTATTTGTGTATTTATAGAATAATTTAATATAATATTTTTATGAAATATAATTTCGGATAAATTTATTATATATATATCTATATTGAATGTTTTTATGGGATGATAATATATTTTTATAGAAGATATTATTTAAAATATTTTGCGAGGGTTTTAATGTCGAGAGCCTTGGATGATATGATCGTGGGTTTCGTGAATGTTTTTTTCGTATTAATTTTGTTTCGTAAAAGATTTGCGAATATTTTGTTTTTTTTTGTATGTTTGTAGTTGGGGATTTTATTATATTTGTTTGGATAAAAAAATTGTAATTTATAAAATATTGGGATTATTTCGCGAAAATTTAACGAAGGTTTCGGTGGATGAATTGGTTTTAAAGGAATTCTATAATTTATGTTATTTTTACAAATTTAAAGAAAAACATTTTTTTTAAATAATAGAATAATTTATAAAGAAGGTATAGATATCTTCGGTTTGAATGATAGCATTGTATTATGGGTAAATATGGGGAAAAATATGATGAAGAATGACCATTTTAATAAACACAAATATTGGACAACCACTATATTATTGAACGAAATATATTGTTGTAAGATTTTTTTGATATTATTTTGAATAGATATATATAATATGTATTCCGAATAATTTTTTTATTATATATTTGTTATTTAATGAATTTATTATATATTGTGATGATATTTTATTTTTGATATACAATAATGTAAATGATATTTAAAAAAATATTATCGAAGATTTATGTTTTGAATATGGATGTTATTAAAATATATTATATTGACATTTTGCGCTTTGATGATTTCGTCGGTTATATATAAATAGAATTTGATTAGATACGGTTTTTTCGATTTATTTGAAATTGATTAAATGATTTGAATAGGTTAATTGATTTAGTGTTCGATGGGCGTTTTGGATCGGTAATTAAAATTTCCCGGAATTATCCATGAATTTATTTTCTTCATTAAGGAAATAAATTTAGAAATTGGGGGAGAAAAATCATATTTAATTCCTTGGTTGATTTATATTTTTTTGGTTTATTTTTATAAATATATTGAAATAATTTGATAATATATAATAATAAAAGAAAATGATTTGGGTAAATAATCAAACCTAGATAAACCTTTTAACGAACGTAATATTTCTAAAGAATCTGATTAGATGCCATCAATTTTTTTTCCGGGATGTAGTTTTAAGTGATTGATGGCATTTCCGAAATAGAGATCATAAATTGATGGCATATTAAAGGTGTTTTGCGAATACCATCATGATTCCCTATATATGAGGTGGGATTAAAATAATTGTAGACTACCTTAGTTAGGAGAGGTCAATATGAATGGCTTAGGGTGAGGATGTATTGGAAATCGATAAAATTCCCCCCAAAATCGATAATCTATGTATGATGATATTTATTATCATTCCTGACAGATCCTTGCAATACCTGTTGCATGTCGAATAAAAGCCCCATTGACAATACCCTAGTGGGCGGCTTCAACCAAATAATCTGGAAGATTTTTGTTTTTTTTAAATGTTTCTGCTCTGCAGCAATTTCTTGCTTCATCTGGCTTCTATGTGGGCACTACGCCGATAAGGAAATCGATAATTCGCCGATAACCGTCTGGATATATTTTCAACTTTCATAAACACTTTGCCAGAGCCTGCTGACAAGACAACTAAATTATTTATCGAGGACATTAGTCTAGCATTTCTTTTTGAGAATTTATATATTAATATTTTACATCCCAATAAATAGAAGGCCGATAAAGATTAAGATGGAAATAGATATCCCAATTTTCACAAAATCACTCGAGAATGCAATGCCTTTGTCCGCTGCTGACAAACGAGCTGTGAATAAATTTGTCATCCATTGCTTCTAATTTCAATGAATAGGTAATTCCGTTTCATCCATAATGTAAATGCGATTGCCAAAAGCATCTGGTTGAACAAAAAATTGAAAACCGATAAGATCTCTCCCAAAAACGATAATGATAATCAATATCCTTATCATAAATAATTGATTTTGACCGTGGTTCATCTATTTATTAAACAATTTTATTGTAAAAATTCATGGAATAACGGATATTTGGATATGATATATATATATGATATTTGATTAGGTATATATATATTTATAATATATGGTTATGCGAAATACAATATATTTTTATCAATAATTTTTCTATATTATTTTTTTAAAGATATTTCGGATTAATATAATGGATTTATTCGATTTATAATATTGGATGAATAAGAAAGGATTTGGAATTCGATTTTAGCCTTTATTTATTAGCATATAATATGGAATTTGTAAATGAACGAAATATATAATATTACATAATCTTAATTTTATTAATTAATTTTTGTAAATATATATTATATTGTTACCAAAATCATTAATTATGTTTCATTTGGATAAATCGATTGGAATTTGTTATGGATTTGTTTAAATTTTGTTGGTAATTGGATTCTATGGTATGAATGGGGTGTGAAATAGGATATTGTGGAATATATCGATTGATTACGATTATAAATATTTTGATAGAATAATAGATATGATTGATAGAGCCGATTTAAATATAGAATTGAATATTTGGATATTTTTGGCATCTATATTCCTCTGTCCGCAGGAAATCAAACAATTTCGATATTGTATTATTTTGGTATATTGATTATTCTTAAAACATATTTAGAATGGATATCGAATGATGGTTCCATTGTCCCAGTGTTGAATCGAAACATATACATGTTCTGATTCGTTTCGCACATATAAATGGCAATCTTTTGGTGTCGCCCCATAGGGCTCTTGGCCGACCTTTCGATTTTCCTGGCTACGGTCTTTACCTGATCGGCTTTTGTTGGTATGATTCACCAGAGAAATTTCGATTTTTGATCAAAGTTTTTTGTTCCATAGCCGCGGCTGTTGCTCGCTCCAGAAGCATCCATAGGGACAAATTGTATAGCCCAATACGGATATAAAAATATCCAAGCAAGAAGAAAATGATATTGATATTATGATATCGATGGATTTTGCAATTTTATCGATTTATATATATTACTATATGTGCAATTGGATGCAAATCCCAACACCATTGAGAATTAAAATATGTTGATAATAATATATGATTGTTTTATATTTTGATTTCCAAAATTTGCAATATATGAATAGATATTGTTTAAATATCATTCTTCAAAAGAATTGAGAAAATCATAAGATATTTAAATTTAGTAATTATATATATATATGATTCATTCAAAATAGATCATTTTTAATATATAGAATTCTATAATATAGATAAATATCAAAAGCAATTTTCATCGATGATCTCAACAAGAAATCATTATATATAGCATATTATTATCTCAAAAGCTATTAGATTTTTAATATCTGTAATTTCCGATTTCCGAAATGAAAAATAGAGCAATCATTTTCCAAATAATATCTATAATAATTATTATCATATATACCTATATTTAATATTTATGTATTATATTTATCTCATTTATGCTAGCGGAATTTTTACCGCCCAGAAAAACATCCAGAAAAACATGGATGTTTTGGAGATGGACGACTTCAGCACAGTGCCTCGATTCCGAGGGTTCAGATGTCATTCGGTTCAAATTACACATGCATACAGAAGAAACCCTTCTACGTTGCTACACAATGCGAGCGACTGAGAGTGGGGTGGGGGTTGGGGTGGGGAAGGGTGGGGTGGGGTGGGATGTTAACGTTCGGTTCAAATTACACATTCATACAGAAGAAACCCTTCTACGTGGTGTAATTGAAGAGGGAAACCACCAACCAATGGTTAGACGGTAGACTGGTCGATTTCTTCCATCCCTATTCATACACACGATAGAATTACAGTACCAATATATTATATTAATATATTATGATCATTTCCCTACAGATCAAAGACCTTCATTTTACTGATCCTGTCCATGAATCATGTTTCATCAACGGTCTGAATGGCCCGGGGGACTCTTTTTTCAAATAGGTTCATCTGTGGAAACGTGACAAAACATAATTTTTCCAAAATGTGGTCAAAATTCAAAAAACGAACGTGCCGATGGGGACCCCTTTTTGCCAAGAAAATGCTGTAAGGGTTGCACAACGCAAAAAAAAACGACATTTTTTTGAACCCTTTTTTCTTTCTCAAAAATCAGCTGTCGCTGCAGCGAAACAGAGAAAAATACAAAAATCGTGGGGCGGTAATAATTCCGCCGGGTTTATGTATCTATAAAACCGGTATATGTTCAATCGTTATTTTTAATCTCATTACATATCTCGTAACAAATTGCCGTCCTTTTTCTCCTCCTTCAAATCTCAATTACAAGATAACAATGTTGCCGGTCGGACTTTAATCACCAATTCCGGATCGTAATATATCCCACCTCCGGATAGTAGTGTTCCCCGCCGGACCTCGACTGCCAATTCCGGATAGCAATACAACCACACAACACACAATCACAAATATACAAATACAACATATTATCACAAACACACAATCATAGATATACAACGTCACACAACCACAAAACACACAACTACAACACACAACCGCAAAAACACATTTACAACACACAACCACAATCACAACCTACA